GCAGTGAGTTCTTCTAAGTGGAGGGGGAGGGGCAGAGACAGTGAGAAGTGGGGATCTGAGAAGCAGGTGAGAGGTCTCTATCCGCAGGATCACAGGCACATGAGGAAGAGGAAGGGGCAGAAAGGGCAGTACCAACTTCCCATGCAGTCAATAAGATATTCCAATTTCCTTTATCTCCTCCAGCTGAGGCAGAACTAGTTCAAGGCCACTGCACACAGATGTGGGGGTTGAGTAACCCCAATTTTAAAGGTCAGCATGATGTGGAGTCAGGGATACCAGTAAGTTGCTATAAGTAAAGGTTCTGTCTTTCATAGTATCTCGGGCAGTTCATGACACAGGCTATGAATGTTGGCAGCTGTTACAATGACTCTCTGGGTTAATGTTATAAATGCTTTTACTGCATTAAATGTCTTCAGGTTGTACATTTACATTAGTATCTCCCTAAATTCTAAAATCTGGTGCTCAATTCCAAACAATGGATAATGTTACACATGTAGCATTTGTCCAAATTGCTTATCAATCCTTTGAAATGTATCCCCTGTTGTCTCCATACTGCCACAGGCAACCATTGCCATATGTCCTTGCTATGTTTGAAACTGTTGCTTCACCTAGAAACACATTTTTCCCTCAGTTCTTTGTAGCACAGGCTGTTCTCATATAACCCAATCACAAACCCCAGGAGTCTGGTAACACTGGTTCCCTCTTAGCTCTCTGTTGCTAATTTTAGGTTATTATACTTTCTTTTTTATAAGTAATCTCTACACCCAATGTGGGACTTGAACTCACAACCCCAGAATCAAGAGTTGCATGCTCTACCAACTGAGTCAGCCAGGTGCCCCACAGGCTATTATACTTTCAAAACATACCTCCTTGGATGTCTTGACACCTGGCTAGACTATCCTCTGTTTGTCTTTGCAGCTGTTAAACCTTCAGATCTTGTGGTCACTAACATAATGGTTCTCAATGTTGGCTGTGCATTAAAATAATCTGGAAAGCTTTTGAAATCCACCCATGCTGAGCTCACATTCCAGACCAATTAAATCATTTTGTGGGTATGGGGACAGGCATCAGTATTTATTTTTTTCATTTCTTAGGTGATTTCAATGTGAAGCCAAGGGTGAGACATCTGTTTTAAAACAAGAATGAAGGACTTCGGCTCTTGGTTTACCAGTGTCCCCTTCATCCCAACTCTTGCAACCATCCCAGGATTTTAATATCCAAGGGAACAACCTGTGCACCACTCTGGGTCCTAGTTCCTTGGCCAGTTTAATTCTAATGTGTCCTTTAGCTCTTATACACTCTGTGAATTTATCATAAACTCAAGTTGCCTGACATCTGAAATATTAAATAAGCAAAAGGGTCTGGGTTTAAAGGCCACAGTTCCAGCCTGTTAACTCCTTTAGTGTAGAACACTCTGCCTCCAGCTGGGTGTGTGTGGCTTACTGCAACCTTACAGAGAACCTTGCTTTCTAAGTTGGCTAGTCTTCTGATTCCATGTCCTTTCCAAGTTGGCAGATCCTCCATGGAGTGTCTGTCACTCCAGTAACTGTCTTAACAACATTATCAAGTCTCTTATCCTTTTGTGCTTTATCACATTCACAAATGCTCCAAATATGTATCTAACTAAATATGCCCTCTCCACTGCTATGGCCAGGATGCTGAGTACTACTGAAGAAAAAAAATCCAACTACACAGAATTATGCTGCCTACATTTTTATGGTATCCAAACAGCAGCTCTCAGCATTACTCAGGAACCTCTGTGTATGTTCCAAATGAGCTCCTGCTCTTACTACCCTTACAGGTACCCTAATGGCCATTATTCTTCCTGACTCCTTTAACTCTCACTTTTAAAGTGGACCTCTTTTGTGCTTTGGAGAACATAATGATAGCCTTATTTTCCAGACTTCCACTCTATCAACTTATCTACTGATGTAGAGGGGGCACTGCTCTAAATTCAACACTGTTGACGTTTTTTGGCCAGATAATCCTTTGGTGGGGTGTGGGTTGCCCTGTACATTTTACATGTTTAGATATTTTACCTATGAGATGCCAGTAGCATCCCCCCACATGCATATATTTGCAAAAAAAATTGTCAGACATTGCCAAATGTCTCCGGGGAGGCAAAATCACCGTAGGTTGAGAACCACTGCTCTAAGCCAAGACTAATCTATCAACTGGTCTTTCTGATAAAAACCTCTTGCTTTCTCCAAGGTCCATATGTGCTTTATCTATCTCCAATCTGAACCTGTCCATTGGTTTTGTCTCCTTAACATATAATTTTACATGTCCCTCCAGAGTCATTCTTGGAAGTGTGTAACCCACTAGGCATTATGGGTCTTTTTTTCCTCCAAGTGAAGCTCCAGGAATGATGTTCATGAGCCCACTTGCTGAAGCCCCGTTCTACTCTTCTTTTTTTTTTTTTTTAATTTATTTATGATAGTCACACACACACACACAGAGAGGGAGGGAGGCAGAGACATAGGCAGAGGGAGAAGCAGGCTCCATGCACCAGGAGCCTGACGTGGGATTCGATCCCGGGTCTCCAGGATTGCGCCCTGGGCTAAAGGCAGGCGCTAAACCGCTGCGCCACCCAGGGATCCCTCGTTCTACTCTTCAATCCTTGTCCTACTAGTATCAAGCACTGATACCTCCACACAGGTGCCAGGGTTCTCCTGCTCACTAAATGCTTAAACAGCCTAACTGGCTATCTCTGACAATACGGACTACACCCTCCTTGAGCCTCTCTCCTCCCCCTGGTTTCTAGGGTACTTTTTTCTGGTTCTTCCCTCCACTTTGATTATTCTTTCTTAATCTCTCCTCTTCCTCAGATTGTTCCTTAAACACTAGTGTTTTTTTCTTAAGATTTTATATATTTATCCATTAGAAACAGAGAGAGAGAGAGAGAGAGAGAGAGAGAGAGAGAGAGAGAGAGAGGCAGAGACACAGGCAGAGGGAGAAGCAGGATCCACACAGGGAGCCTGATGTGGGACTCAATCTTGGGACTCCAGGATTACGCCCTGGGCCGAAGGCAGGTGCTAAACCGCTGAGCTACCCAGGGATCCCCAGACACTAGTGTTCATTTGGGATTCTGTCCCTGGCCTTTCTCTCAGAACTCTACAATGTTTTTTTAATTTTTATTATTATTATTTTTTTACATTTGTTTTTATTTAAGTTCGATTTGCCAACATATAGTATAACACCCAGTGCTCATCCCATCAAGTGCCCTCCTCAGTACCCATCACCCAGTTACTCCATCTTCCGCACACCTCCCTTTCTGCAACTCTTTGTTTCCCAGGGTACATCCCCCAACCCCCCCCCACCCCCCCCGCTATCACCTTCTTTATAAGTTTCAACTCTTCTGCTATAATATAATGAATATACTAACTCCTCCTCATGTAATTTGAAGCCCTACCTTCTCTCAAATTCCAGTCCTGTGTGTCTGACTCCCTAGGGAATATTTGTACCTGGGAGCACTATAGACACCACTAACAAATCAAGATACCTAACACTGAACTCATCACAGCCTACTCCCTACCACTACCTGTCTCTAGATCCCCAAATCTTCCTTATTCTTTTATTATTTCTGTGGGACCTCCATCCATTCAGTTGTATTGATAAGCCAGAGCGTTAGCACAATCCTAAATTCCAACTTCCCTAATCACATCTAATCAATCAGAAAATCCTGTCAGTTATACCTTATACCTTCCCTTTTATTTTTAACATGCAAATCTGTCCCTGTCACTCCCTGGACTACCTCCTCTAGTGGATGCCCTTTGTCTGAAGGATTTACAACCTAAGCACTTCAGCAGAGCACACCAGGCTCTCCGTGGCTTGGCTCTTGCATTTTTCCTCTCCTTCTCTCCATTAGACCCCAAACCCCCAAACAGGACTGTACCATATCACACCTTCCTTAAGTTATTCCCTCTGTTAAAATGTTTTTTTCTAAGATCATCTACCTAGCATATACTTTTTCATCCTATAAGCCTCAGCTTAAACATGAACCTCTCTGGAAGCTCTTTCTGGACTCCTCAGGGGCACATTTATAGGGTTTCTTCCTGCATGCTCCCAATGCATTGTGCACACATCTTCGTTAGAGTTCCTGCCACAGTCCATGGGAATTGACATAGTCTGTGGGTGTCTCACCCACCAGCCATCAAGCTCCTGATGGGCAAGTGTTTTGCCAACTCAATCTTGTTTCAATGAGGACTAACAGAATGCCCAGGATGGAAAGAAGCACTCAATAAATACAGGCTAAATGACTGAACAACATAAGAGGTTCAACTGTCAAAAACTCTACAGGGGAGAAAAAACTGTATCATGACATGGTATTTGTACAAAATAAAAATGTCAGTCCAAGAGGTCAAAAAGTGAAGTTATTCAATCTAAGGCAAGAGCTAATGTTAAATAAGTTTAATAAGTAATTTACATGATGGTACAGTGCTTATTAAGTTCTTCTACCAAAGTACTACTATCATCAAAAGAATACTGACCCATATCCCTGGGGGATCTGATGGCACAGGCTAAAAAACATGACATTTCTCTGGCTAATATGTCCATATTCATTTTAACTTGAAAACACTTTGAATTACTAACAAGTAACAGGAATGCTCCAGGAAAAGAGAACGTGTTTATTCTGTGGGCTCCAACGACCTTTACTATTAATGCATGACAGTGTCAGCATCATAGTTATAGCAATAAATGTACAGTGGAAATAGCATCTCACTTAAAGTCACAAGTTCCATCACCTTGGCTGTGACTTGGGGTCTACTTTAATCTCTCTGAGCCTCCCTGGTTTCCATATCTGGAAAATGGCTATAATAATATTATAATAAAAATTATAAAAATAATATTTGCCTTATATATTTCATAATGTTGGTACCAATATAAAAAGAAATAATGCAAGCAATGAAGTATATAAGCATGAAGAATGAAGTAATATTTTATCTAGAGAGAGTGAAAATTAAAGTTCATATGCAATCCATATTCTTGAAAACACCTACCTTTTGAAGAGCTGAAGGTTTTTCCGTTTTGGTTTTTCCCTTTGGGGTTAAAGGAGGGGATCGCTCCTTTATCTCTGGAGGCAATTCTTGATATAACGCTGGAATTGAACAAGGAATTCATGTAATCAAACTGAGGAGCACTGACCCATAGGGTAAATAAATAATGATGGAGGGGGGCAGATATGAAACTAAGGATCTTGATATGCACTTCTCTGGTGTAACAATAAGCTACCTGGCACTTAGTGTTAAAACGATTTATAGTTACACACATTAGTTATCAAAAGAACATAATTTATGATTGGAAATTTTTCATTAGTAGGATTTCAGAATCCTGGTCAGAGACAGATATGTTCACAAGTAAGTGTAACATACATGAAGGGACACCTGGGTGGCTCAGCAGTTGAGTGTGTTTGCCTTTGGCTCAGGCTGTGATCCCAGAGTCTGGGATCGAGTCCCACATCGGCTCCCCATAGCGAGCCTGCTTCTCCCTCTGCCTGTGTCTCTGTCTCTCCTCTGTGTCTCTCATGAATAAATAAAATCTTAAAAAAAAGTGTAACATACATGAGAATGTGACATTATTCAAATGAGAGATAATAAGGACAGATTCTGATATAGATAGCAAATGCTCAATCCATGAAGTGGCAGGTGTGTCAGTCTCTGAAGAACACGTAGGATTTTGCCAGGCAGAGGTGTGGTCAAAGAATAATTTGGGAAGATGGTACAAAATAAATGAGCATGGGGCTAGGGCTATACATAACCTTGAATCTGTTTACAGGGTCGAATTTGAGATTATAATTTATATAATCTCTTTATACACAATGTGGACTCTAAAATGTGGAAATTTTCAAGGACTGAAAAAGAAAATGTGTTTCTCTTTCAGTTAAATAACAACTCTGCGCAATTCTGAACTTAGAGAAATTGGCAAACTATGCCTGATTGAAATTCTACAATTGTTAGGTATATTAATTGGCTTTGTGTATGCGTTGATTATATTGCTGGGTTTATCTCTTATTGGAAAGGATGTTAGATGTCATTAAGTGAAGCTGTTCATTTTTTTTCTTCCTGGTGGCTTAAGATACAAAAGGAATAAATTATAATGATGGAGAACTTCTATTGTGTCATTGTTCACTTAGAGGACATGCCTTTCAACTGAATGGTTGGTAGAGATTCTGTTCCCATCTATACACTCCCTTTGAGCATTTGTTTTGCATATCTGGCTTTGGATAAAGATAAAGGACAATTTCTCCCACTATTTTTAAAGGGGAATATGCTACTGATGGTCTTTTTTCCCCTCCTAATGTTAAAACTGAGGTGAGGTTTTGTTAAATTCAGGTTATAAAGGAGGATAAAAGGGAAAAGAAGATAACCCCTGATGAAGTGAGAATTCAATCATTATATTCTCAGGTTTTCTGAGAATTGTTTGTTCTGGCCTTTAAAAGTCTTTCTCAAGAAGCAGTGACTGATGCCAAAATAAAGTATCAATTCTGGGATACAATAAGGAATTCTGGCAGTTAGAAGATGGTCACTACTTGAAACACAGAATTTCTGCATGAGGCCACCAAGCATCATTGTGGTATACTTTAGATGTTGCACTTTGGTTATCATGGAACAAAAGCCAAATTTAATGGATTTTTAACCCTCTGTGGATCAAATATCTATAGCCTCTTAAGGTTCATAAGCATAAGAGGTTATTTCTGCAAACTAACTAGATTCTAAAGTTATAACTCTAATACCATTCTGCCTGGGAATAAATACATCATCTTTTTATACTGTCTAGTAAAAAAAAAAAAGTTTAAATGTTTCCACTTGTGTCTGGAAGAAACAATGGATTGTAACATGTAATTAAAATTACAGACATACTCCAGAGCCACTATGACTGTGCAGCCAGCTTTCTTGATTTGGAACTGGAAGCTACTCCTGCTGAACTAGACCTACAAAGGCAGTGGGAAAACCATCAATGGGAAGGGGAGGGAAGAAATTGGGATATTTGAGGCAATCTGGAAGTTACAAGTACTTAGCTTATGAAAAATGAATGGGAATTAACTTGTCCTAAAATTTCTTTCTTCTACACTGCCTTAAATTTTCTCCATTATGTATCCTCTTTTGAACATTAAAAATAGTTTGAGAGCTATCAATTATTTACTACTCAGAGACGAAGATTTATAACAGTGGCATGGAGGAAATGAAGAATTTTGTTATGAGGGAGAGAAGTGGGTAATTTTTGACACACTAAGCACTTTTGAGGGGAGGAGTTTGCCGAAAGCAGAAGATAAGCTGAGGGAAATAGCTGTAGAGACAGGAGCCCTGGAGAGTGTGAGGCAGGGGAGGGGAGCAGCACTGGGTGCAGATGGGGTAGAGAGAGTGAAGAGAGAACTCATTTTGTCTGTGCCTAGCCCAGCACCCAAGACTCATGGAAGAAATTGTTCTTCCTGTTTTCCTTCATCTTTTTTGCTCTCAAAATTCAGAACTTAGGTTAGGAATCAATAGGACTTTTGCTTAACCAGTTTGGGTTAAATGGGGCTCCACAGACAAGCCTGAAAGTCACCTGTTATTTATAATAATTTCTTCTTTGAAGAAACAAAAGACTTCACAATAATGATTCAAAATGGAGTGTCCTCAAGGCCGCCTATACTACATTTTAAACCAGAACTACACAATTTTAGTCTTTCTGGAAGGAAGCTCAGAGATGACAGAGTTCAACTTCCTCATTTTATGGGAGGAAACTGAGGCATATCAGTATTAATGGCGAATTTTCCGGATTCCTGAGCACTGGGCTTTCATACCACACTACCAGGGCAGCTGTTGATAGGAAGCATTCTTCTAAAGAGGCACTGCTATACTTGCCCCCTTTCTTGAGTCTTTAAGTTCTTTTATCTCCACGCTTTCCTTGCACCTCTCCAGGCCTGGTAGTACATCTACAGCTCTCACTAACTCCTATTTAGAATTTCTTCTCCAGCTCATTCCCTAGGCCTTTCACAAACGGGGAGTTAATTTGCCTGAGAATGAAGCAATCTATTGCAGGTTTGTTTTGGCAGGTTCCAGCTGGAACTGAGGTATACAAAGTAAAAGAATGGGACTTGGGGAACTAGAGGTTCTGAGGTGCCTGTCAACTGAGGAGTCACTGTGGCAAGAGAAGAACTGACATAACTGTGTGTGAAATAGATGGTGGGCAAAAAGGGGCTGAAGAAGAATGCTGGTAGCTAGACAGGAAGGTCCCCCAGGATAAGTCTGTGAAAGCAAGTAAGTATTCCAATCTCAGAATGGAGCAGCTTTCTGGTGCATTGGATCAGTGCCCCCTTTTATTTATTTATTTTTGCATCATGACAACGAAAAGCAATACCCAATAGTAAACATAAAGGAAAAGTTACCAAGAGAGTAAATTAAAGGGTAGTAAATGATAAAATCTTGGACTATCAGTTATACCATATTAGTAAACCAGGAAGGGAGCATAAAACTTACTTTCACTAGCCACATGATTAGCTGGAAAATAACCTTCCTGTCCCTTTCCTATGCTGCCATACCACCAGTCTTCATTATCTTTGAAAAACACTCGGATAATGTCTCCGCGATGGATGGTTAGTTCATCTGATCGATTCGCTGTGTAGTCATAAAGAGCCACTACCTACGAGAGAGATAAGACCACCACAGCTTTATCACAACTGTACCACAGAGAAAACCCCCAACATTCACTTCCTCTTGCAGAAGAGCAGCTGAAACCAAAGCAGTACTTTGGTAAGTCTGAGGCTGTCTCAAGGTTTGCTAATGGGATCAGGGGTGGTGGGAACACAGCAGGAGAAGCAAGATAAAAGACTGTGGGATTGAGAAATGGTTAAGAGCATTCAATACACTAAGATTAGCTTCAAAATAGCAGATGTTAATTTTTTTTTACAAGTGAATTACTTGTGAAGCAAATAAAAAAAAGGCTCACACACCATTCACTTTCTTAGAATTGTTTTATACTACCTTCAGATCCTATTCTCTAAGCTAAGCAGATGTATCTGAAAAAAAAAAAAACTCTTCAGAATGTCAACGATTTTATAAAAAAGAAAAGCAATGAAACAACCTGATTACATAACTTCATTGTGATCACTCGATGTCTCTTTTAAAGATACATTTCCCCACCAACATATGCTTTTTGGTATTTTATATCAAAAATCTAAATCTTCTGACTACTTTTAAAATATACTCTTATAATAAGGGTATTTTCACTAGATACAAATTTAAGAGGAAAGGCCTTTCTACAAGAGTTTTCTTCTCTGTATTGTGTAGTAGTCATTGTTTTTGATTTTTTTCTTTTTTAAAAACTAAAATCAAAATGAATGAGTGCACAGAAATTTAACAAATCCCTTATAGCAGTTACAAGGAGGAGACAGACCTTAATCCCTTTCATATGTCACGCATTAAATAACGTAGGACATAATACGTACACTAAAGAATAAACTACTTCTTTCCTACTTAAAAGGGATTTGAAAATTAACAGGGAGTGCCTGAGTGGCTCAATGGGTTAAGTGTCCTACTCTTGATCTTGGCTCAGGTCCTGACCTCAGGGTTTTGAGTTCAAGCACCATGCTGGGTGTAGAGCCTACTTAATTAAAAACAAACAAACAAACAAACAAACAAAAAAAAACAAACAAAAACAGATTATACCACTATGTATATAATGGAAAATTATCATAATCCTTGGCATTTAGGTTGAGAACTGATTCATTCACTGAAGTATTTACTGAAATCCTAATGTGCTACCATTGGTACTAGGCTAAGGGCTAAATATACCACAGTAAATAGGGTCCTTTCTAGAAGGGTTCCCTCATTTAGGCTCTGCAGGAGAATAAAGGATAATCAGGAATGGCCAGGTGAAGAGATGGAAAATGTGTCTTGGGAAGGCTATCCTGCATGTGTGAGAGTCCAGCAAAGAGAAACCCCAAATAGTTCAATATAGTGGGAGCCTGAATTAGAGGTAAGAGCCTTGCTAGCTGAGTGGGGTAAGGTGAGGCTGCAGGTGTCAGGAGAGGCCAGGTCATGCATGTTGTGGAAGCTCATACTCATACTATGGGCAATGGGAGGAGATAAGGGTTTTAAAAAGTAGGAGATTCTATAACAGTTCACAAAACTGGATGGTGCCTCTTAGGTAATTTACAATATTTATTAACACATTAACCCAGAGATGTGAACGGATAAATCTGGAAGTACCTGCTGTCACTATCTGGTATAAGGGCAATAATAATAATTTAAGTCAAATGGTACAAATGCCATTCCTACTGTATTGCTTAGCACACTCTGTAATTCACAACATGTTATGAAGGCTGTTGTTTCAAGTTTACGAATCTCTTCTTTTAGTGTACTGATGCCAAATCACAGGTAAAGGTGGAACTTTTAACTCTTCCCTTTCTTCTTTCTTTTTCCTCTGAGCTGGCACTATTACAGAAGAAAGCTAATGATAATGTTCTGAGTGCCTGCCATTTTCTAGGTACAATGCTAGTTGCTTAACTAAGTTCCTACACAAATCTGTAGGACAATCCTGTAAGGGTACAAATTCTTATTTCAATTTCATAAATGAGGCATTTTATGCACAGAGAAATTTAGTAACTTGCCTAAAGTTAACCATGAATTACACTTTTTTTTTTATATAGAACATCTTAGTCTACAATCAAACATGGGGAAGCAGCAGCAGAGAGGAAGGGATGGACAGAGATCCTAATCCCTCATGAGAGATTGGACAGAGTTTTGGGTGATACTACTGCGGCTGTGCTGAGAGAACTACCAATCCTGGGCTACCTGCAGACCCGTGTGCTCCTTCCAAGACATCTGAAACCCAGTCCCAGAAAACTGTAGGGATCTCGTCCTGCTGTTCCTCATCCTGGCTCTCGTACACTAAACAGCACAACTTTGATGAATCTTATGGAAGTATGAAGACTGCGCATGCTCATTTCTCTGGAGTTAGAGGTGGCTGCTGAGAAGAAGAGCAGGAGAGATTTGGCTTAGGCAAGAGTATCCTTTAGGAAGTCCCACATCAAGCCTGTGTTCTTGGGTGGATTACTGATAATCTGGAATTCATCAAACTGGAGACAGAAAACCTTTCCTGAATTTTCTACCAAGGTCAGGTGATAAGAATCCCTTCAGAGGTACTGGGGTCCAAAAGACCCTATATTTCAATTTTCCTATTAAAGTATCCACAAATTATCTTCTGTATGCAATCAAATATAGCATACCAGTTTTACATTCCCTTCTAGTCCTTGTAAATACGTTCTGCATCTCTGTTATGGACTGAATTGTATGCGCCCTAAAATTCATATGTTGAAGCCCTAGCAAGGTCTGGAGATATTTGGAGACAGGGCCTTTACATAGGTAATTAAAGTTAAATAAGGTCATATGGGTGGGGTCCTAGTCCAATAGGGCTGTTGTCCTTATAAAGAGGAGGAAAAAATAGCAGGAGCACCCATGCACAGAGAATAAGGACAGAAGAGGACACAATGAGAAAGCAGCCATCTACAAATCAAAGAGAGAGATATTAGAAGAAACCGACCCAGCTGGTGACTTGATTTTGGACTTCTAGTTTCTAGAACCATAAGCAAATAAATTTTTGTTTAAGCTCTCAGTTGAGATGGTACTTTGTTACAGCAGTCCTGGCAGACTAACACAGTTTTACAACTCATAGTGTCAGATGAATGGTGGTCACTACTCACTACTGCTGGTCATGGCACGCACATGGGTAATACATTTTAGGTCCTTACCAGATTATAGTACTATGTCCAACACTATCATAATTTTATCTCCTGATGTAGAAATAACAGCCCTGTAACCAAAATCCGTAGGAGGGTTGTGCTTCAGGAGGCTACATCCCTCAAAGCAAAGGAACGGTTTTTGGAGAATGCCATCATCATACCATGACTGACATTTAAGTGCAAAGTTGCTACACAGTGAGGAATCAGTAGGCTTCACTTGCCAAGTCTACATTTTGTCAGTGAAACTACGACCATTCCTTCATCATACTGAAGGTACATGACAAAAGCTACAAGGGTTATGATAATCTGCTTATATTCCACTGTGTGTTTTTAACCACTATGTCATCTTCTCATTTGAGGACCTCTTACTCTCTTCTGAACATCTTAATATACACAATAAACTTCTCTGCTTACTTTGATTTGCAGTGGATTCTGCAATAAATTGTCTTCCCCATCTCCAATTACATAGTTATTATCTCATTATTTTGGGGGTAAAGGAAAGCTCCATAAAAATGTTGGGGGAGTGCCTGGGTGACAGAGCTGGTTAAACGCCTGGCTCTTGGTTTTGGCTCAGGTCGTGATCTCAGGGTTCTTAGATCCAGCCTCATGTCAGGCTCTAGGCTTGGTGTGGAGTCTGCTTCGCATTCTCTCTTCCTGTGCCCCTCCTGCTTATACTCTAAGATAAATAAATTAAAAAATCTTAAAAAAAATGTTGGGAAACACAATCCCATCAAGAGGTTTGTTTTAAATTGATAATGTATCTATTTTTTCTCTTTATTCTGGTAAGTCTTGTCATTTATCTTGACCTTTCATTCTTTTGATGAGTATCTTTTATAATGTACCATTCCTTGCACATAGTGCTCTGGTGCTTAGGTATGTATGACAGCACATCCTTGGCAGTATCTTTGAGCTGACAAAGGAGTTATGAAATCTTTCTGCAAAAGAAGTCTAAAAACATTAATTTATGTGTCCATGCTGGTAGTGACAGATTTAGGGAATGAGATTTTTTTTTTTTTTACAAAATCCACTTGGGTCAAATTTTGTCCACAATTCACATACTTGAAACAGAGTTCCTTCTTCTCAAAGCTTGCCCAATTATTTGGGTGCAGTCATGTTGGAAGTGTCACTGGCAAGCTTTTATTTATTTATTTTTTCCTGACACTCATTTTTCAGTCTTTAGAGCAGTGCTTGCAAGAGACAATTTCTTGCTTTAATACAGCAGAGTCTGTCAGGCTGTTACAAGACTTTTAGGTGAACTCCTCTTTATATTATTTTCTGAGAGATTTCCATTACTATTGTTGTCTCTGAAGAATTCTCCATGGTTCTTGAAACCAGTGTACTGAAGGAACATTAACCAGTACTGTTCAGCAGCAGATGCTTCTTGCAACTTCAACTATGGTGTAAGAATCAATATTCATAATGGTCCCAAGTCATTCAAAAGGCTAAGTTACATTGAATAAACGCACAGACTTGAGTACTTTCTCCTCTAGTGCTGCTTCAGCTGGGTCTATATTCACTGGAAAGCTTTGTGCCAGGCTGCAGCAAATGTGCATCTGGATCTCACAACCTTCCCTCCGCTTTCTTCCCTCCTTCACTTGGTTTCAGACTTCTGGCCTCTAAGAATAGTGAGAGAATGAACTTCTGTTGTTTTAAGCCACACCATGTTATAATAGCCCTAGAAAATGAATACATGTGAATTTTACTTTGGTGAATGCTGGATTTTATTTTCCCTGAAAGAGTGTTGGACCTTTTTCTGACATGTAGTTACCTGGGATTAGTATGACCCTTTCCAGGATTGATTTTAAGTTTTGGTAGAGCAGATTCAGGAGGATTTGAGTCTAGGGCTCCGTAGTCCCCACTACCGGGGTATGATCCTCCTGATAATTCTACCTGATGCCTC